ACAGACATGTACACAGGGCTACTTTCTAATATGCTACTAATACGACAAATATGGTATTTATGTGAACACAAAACGAGAATGCGAAGTGACTGAAAATATGGTTTCAAGCAAGTACAAACATAATTAAATATTTTTTTTGTAGGTATTCACTGTGGAAACTATGATGCCTTATGTTGGACACCTTCCCGGAGTACACACCAAGAACTTCTTCCTTAAAGATAAGAAGAAAAAAGGATTATGGTTGATGACTGTCAAACACGACAGAGAAGTCAATTTGGGAAAGATTTCGAAGGAAGTGGGTGCACCTGGAGGGCTTCGCTTTGCTGATGAATCCATTATGCTCGACAAGATTGGTGTGGGTCAAGGTTGTGTTACACCTATTGCACTATATAACGATAAGAACAAAGATGTGAAGTTCATTTTAGATAGTGATATTATCAACGGCGGACATGAACGCATGTACTGTCATCCCATGGTTAATTCAGCTACAATTGGGATCAAACCTGAAGATTTTAAGTCTTTTATTGAATCCACTGGGCACTCACCAATTTTACTGAACTTTTAATAATTTTATAATCTCTAAACGACCAGTACCAGTAGTTTTCTTGTAATAAATAATATTTAATTTCTTACAAAGGTATTGTTGCATTCTATCTGAAGATGTCTTGGTATGTTTATGCACACATTTCATGGAGAAAATTGCACACTAATATTAACATATAAACTGCCAATTATACTTCAAACCACATTTTTCACAATGGCTGAATGCTTGTATTCCAAGCCTTTCTACTGATTATAGAATATATAATTTCACATGCTGTGAACCAACTCATTTTTATTCAGCCAGTTCACTGTGTACATCTCAGCAATCCAAAATACACATGCCTTCTGACACAGAATACAGCTTCAATTTGGTGGATACAAGTCTGTGGCAGATTGATATCATTTTTTTTTTCAACATTTAGTTTTGTACAAATTGTCCACTGGCTATGTTCATTACTAGCCTCATGTGTGATGCAGACCCTACTAAGTATTAGTTTCTAAGACAAAAAAGTCAGGAATGACAGCAGTGACTTCAATGTCATGAAATGTCGCCTGGCACAAAAGCCACATTTGTGGCCCTTTTTATGATTTTATTTACACAGAAGATTTATCAGAAAATGTGCAATATTGTGCAGGAAAAGGACCACAAATACATGTAGACCCCCAGCTTCTTAGTAGTGCGCCCTCTAGAGACACACTCCCATTTGGTATGAATGGTTGCCAGTCTGTGTTTAATGTAATTTCATGTTTGAAGCAAAATTGTGATTTAATATAAACACACTAAGCTTTATTAGTTATTGTTACGTTAGTTATATTATTAATCAAGTGATTAACATCACATCACTCTAACAGGTAGCCAACCTCACAGCTGATTATATTATAAGTGCGCCCTCATCTGTGTTTTTTAAAAAAGGGTTAGAGATTACTGATATCCTACAAAATTATAAAATTTCATATCAATGAACACTTTTTCACTGAATCATATGGCCCTCATACTGTAAAATAATATTACTTTGATTTAATTTGAATCTGGCTTCTTTCCTGTGAAGCTATCATCTGTGTCATAATTACTAAATTATAATGGTATATTTATTTGGAAATAAAATTAGCACCAGGAAATCCAGTATATCTCACTAGGTTAATTATATGTGATCCAGTCAATGTAAAAATACTTGGGTTGACAAGATTAGGGTTAAATAAACTTATTTACATAATGTACAATTAATGCTTAGATATGTTATTACAATCATCCCAAACAACTTACCGGGGGGTAATTATTTTTAGGCGCATCATACCGATACAAACACTCTACAAATCTTCAACCAAGTCTAGTAATTTGTTTAAAATATTGAGGAAATAAGGTTGTGACTCACACTACATAGAACATGTATCTTGTTTATGTGGTTTTAAATAATCTAATTAAAACGGTGTCAACACATCATTTTTAAATTTTCTCTAGGATGAGAAACAAATTTTGTTGTTGTTGGCCTAATGTGTGGAGAAAGAAGAAATCTGCCATTCAATTAAGGTAAAACATCACTCACAAAAACAACTAGAAGACGACGATTTCAGAAAAAATGGAATGCTTTATTAAAATACCAAGTAACAATTTTTGCTCACATCATTGTGGATTGTGACGTAATAACACAATCTATCTAAAATGAAAAAACCCAATAATTTTTCAACTGACTTAAACTATGTACACATGGGTAGAGATAAGAATAGACCAGGAAAAATATAACTGAAAAGTTGTAAAATGGAGTATGTTTGGTGCTTTCAAAGATATGCAACATTGTACTGGTAAATACATTTCTTAGAAAACAGTCCATATATACCTAAATAATACAAATTGTACGATACATATCAGATCAACCAAAATACAATTTAAATACCACATCCACGTGGCAAAATGAAATAGCTTGCATGTATGAATACCACTGTCTTTATTAAATACACAATTTAATGAGTTATCTCATATATTAATACAGACTAACTAGTACAGTATAATATGGTCTTACAGTTAAATTATTGATGGATTTAAAGATTTATTTAATAATAATGGTAACTGTTAATGCCCAGTTGGTTTGTATTCATGTGAAAAAAATAATTCATTACGTGTGCAAACCATAAGATAAAACTTTATACACAAAACAAAAAGATTGTTTCACCACTGATACTTGCAGCACAGTTTGAATAAACAAACTTGAACTCCTGCACCATCTGATATTTAATATGCTAATTTGATGATATCCTTGTTGGTACAAGTTAGGGTGCAAAGATTATATACATCAGCCAGTCATTGGTTAAAAGTTTCCATATTTATAACTTTCCTATGGTGTAATTATAAAACATGACAGGTAGCATGGGTAACCCATTACTGCATGATAAATCAAAGACATGTGTATGAATAATTATTGATAGGTTACAGCAAATGTCTTCATCTGAGCAATGTTATGGATGAGAAGTATAGGGCCTTAATATTTCAGATAGAAATTTAGAAGACAGAATAGAACACATGCCAAGATTTGTTTATTAAATGCATTAAAATAAACTTTCCACATGAGCAAACATCACACACTTTTGTTGCAAAAAAAAAACCCTGTATATAAATAATTCTGTTCAAAACAATTTGTCACTTTCCAGATCAGAGCTAGCTTTGACATCAACAACATAAAATATCTAAGAGAATACAAACAGTATTGAAGACTCTTGAGTTTATGTTGAAACCAACATTTGAATATGGGCAATTATTGAAATATGAAATGTTGATTCACAGCAAACCATATCCCCTACACTATGTATGCATGTTCTATTGTCAATTCCTGCTCAATATCACCTATACTACAAGCGTGCGTATTTCCACAGTGTTACATAACATTCACATCACTGTTTGTCGCATACTGCCAAACTTTTTTCATTGTATGCACCGCCTGAAGGATGACCAGAGATTCTGGGTTTATACGAGGTTCGAGAATTACAGATTGTGGTAAAATATGCATGTTGTAAATATATAATCCAACAATATTTTCTCTTGTCAGTTATGTTTTTGTGGTTTTCAGAGCAACATCATTCCTCGCCTGTGGTTCAGATTGACATAAAACTTTGGCAGTAATCACTCGTTACTGCTGACGTCAGCCTAAGAGAAATATACGATAGTAGGATTATACATATAAGCACATTATGATATCTTATTATAAAATGTGTAGTATAATTTACTGCGTAATCGCTACACGTTACACTGTATTACACACAGCATATTTGTAACTCTATAATAATAAAAAAATCCCTGTCAATAAAATCTGCTACTCCTGAGGCGACTGAAGACCCCCGACACTACACGTACAATGTACTTCCGATAGCTTAGGGATGGCAAAATAATGAAGGGGGTGTTGTTATATTGCCTTTTTTTTTCAATGCCTACTTATGCAATATCTTTTTGACTTTTTTCTCTGCATGATATTACAACTCTTTGGATTCACTGTTCAGACAACTGAAATGTTACATAAAGTACACCACCTCCAAAAAAACCCACACACACCAATGAATTGTAAATTTGCATTGAAAGTGCTTTCAGAAATGAAATGTTCTTAGAGCCATTGGTTCACTACAGGAACAGATTTCTCTACTTACTCATAAAACTGTTTTGTATAGATGGAATACAATATTTGAGGAAAATACATCACCTTGCTGTAAAAGCAGATTTAACATGATCAAGTAAATGTAATTAACATATCATGTCTTTTTTTATTGTACAGGAAAAGTTACTGCTGATTTGTGCTAGCATCTATTACAATAATCTTTTAAAATCACACATATACTTTTACCATATTATCACCTACAGAATCTCAGTAAAAACTAGTATTTATTGGCAATGTTTTTGTCAATATTCATACTTGCATTATGGGGTATATTGTAACCTCTGTCAATGTGTCTTTACAAATGTATACATGTTCACATCCTGCTACACTAGAATGCAGTTTTATGCATTAAATATGTACATACAATATTATTTTGTTGTCAGAATTCGGACTTCTAATTTAAAGACTACCGGTAATACATTCTGATATAAATATATCATAAGAGAAAGATTTGTGCATGTATTGAACTAGATTGGGATTTATTACTTGAACACTGGTACTGATACCATAATGTTTGGTGTGAGTATCAGAGAAGTGCTTGCAGCATGTTAAACATATGGTCTCATTTTTAGATCAATCTTTAGTAGTGAAACTCTAGAATCTGTTTCTAGATAGCTTGAGGCCAGTTTTATGTAGAAGTCTGGGTTTGGTTCACAAATCACTTGATGTATCTCTTTTGATCATCTTTTTAAACACAGTTACATTTGGGAGAGTAGCAATATTTATTGTAAATGAAATTAATTTTATTCTATATTTCTACAAATTTGTCGTGCCAATTAGACAACAACAGATATAGCTCAAACTAATAAAATAGTGCTATGTAATGTTTTCTCTCTATTGCACAGTTTCCTTCTATAATTCCACCACTTATTCTTACTGGTTGTCACATTGTTTGAACATTACAGTGAATATGTGTGTGCAAGAACAATGAAAAACAATAGATCATGTACATAACAATGGGAGAAAACAAGAGTGTAAAAACATCATAATGTAATTAGATTTAATTGGCATTATATTCAACCTAAGTATAAATAAAAGATTGCTGCTTTTTTAAAAAGATTTTCTAATTATTAGTAAAATACAGTAATAGAAAGAAAGAATTCCATCATACAAAGTTGTTTACAATTAAAAAGCATAAAAATGGAATCTTATTGTACATATGAAATTATTACATTTACAAATACCACCCCCCTCCATTATAATTTAATTTACAAGCTATACCCATACACAGAAAATTATTTTAATATTATTTATCCCTGTACATTTTTTACATTGGCATTATTTGTAACTATCAAAGTGTTATTATTGTTATTGTTTTGTACATTGGTAGTAACAACTTGACCAGCTGACTGAGCTAGTTGAAATGCTGGGAAAACAAGTGGTTGCATTGATAGAGGTGCTGTCACATTACCGGGCTGCATGCTGGACACCTGTGGATTTACAACATTAGGAGCTATGGATAACGTCTGTGGAGATATGTTTCTTATTTGAGACTGGCTTGATGTAAAAACAAGTTGAGTGGCTTGGGGTGATGTCTGTAACACAGGTTGCAATACACTCTGTTGAGGCAAAGCCAAAGCTTGCAGACCTGCAGTGCCGACTGGAATCTGAACACCTGGGCTGATATTTCGCACTGTAATATATTGGACATTTGGATTAAGAGTAGGATTGATTGGACAAAATACAGGGGATGATACTTTGATTGCTTGTAAAGGCACATTAGTGGATGTGGTTGACGGAGTACTTCCTGGGATTGTCAGGATAGGTGTCAAGTTTTGTGGAAATGGAGCAATTCTTCTGTTACTAGATACAAGTGTGTGAGAAATACCTCCAGTTTGAAATTGTGGAGATGTTCTGGATGCAGGTATTCCAGTTGTTGGCGGGATCAACAACTGTCTAGAAGTCATCTGAGGAGACTGGGTTGTAGTAAATGTTAACTGGTTGTTGTCAATGCCACTTGATGTAGGACTGATGATGATTTGTGGGCTGGTCATCACGCCTGGTAATACAGGATGCTGGGATATGGTTGCTAGGTTTGGTTTGATTGCAATCTGTAAGGGATGTGATACAGAAGTCTTGGACAATGGTGAAATCTTTGGCGTGATTTTAGAAATAGGTACAAAACTAGCAGTAGTGATAGGTCTGGGAGGAGAGGACAACAGAGGTTGGTTATTCAAAGCAACAGGTGTGACCAGGAAACCTCCAGAATTATTTAACTGGCCTTGATTAACTACAGTAGCATCTACAGCTGGTTTGAAAAGTCTAGTTTGTGGAGGAGCAGGCATAGTAGAATTAGTGACTGTACTTCCTGTCATAAGAACATTGGTTGGTGAGCTGTTGACTTGTTCAATGGCTGCATTTAATCCACCAATCACAATTGGTTCAGTGTTCATTTTAGCATTAGCTGCTTCATGTTGTAATTTGAAAAGAGATTGAGGTGTGCCTCCCATATTTGCTGCAGTAGTTAACAGAGTAGGCACATGAGTTGTACCATGAACTATACCAGTAGGTGTAACACTCCTCTGAGAATGCGTACTCTGAGTACTTTCGTTAGAACTGCTTCTCTGTTCAGTAGAACTGTCTTTTTTCAATTTGCGCCTCTTTGCTAAAGGTGCATTACTGACGTCCATTAGATGGAAGCCTTGCCTAGCTGCCATGTGGAAAGCATCAAGAGTTACTTTGACAGCGGATTGTACAGATAAACTTGATGAGCTCAACACATCAGGTGTCATTAGTGGAGTAGAACTGTATACTTTGTGTCCTTGTATCCACTCATTTCTCATAAGTTCAGACATTGTTAGTCTGTTGTTTGGATCTACAGTCAGTAGTCCTGCAATAAAACAACAATACATTTGTAACAGCTGGCATCATAACTACAATACGCCAACAATGAGATGTAATTACCATTTTAGAGTGCAGCAAATTCTCATTAATTATCATGCAAAAAATGATTAATTGGTGGCAAATAAATTTATACCGGGGGTATTCTATACATCTGAACTTGCTTTGCCCTCCCCCTCCATCTCTCCTCAATAATTTTGAACCTGAAGCATGTATTTTGAGAATGTATACTTGCCTTGTATTAGACTCTTTGCTTGTTGTGATACTGTGTTCCATTCTTCACCTTTAAATGTGAAATCTCCTTCTTTAATTCTTTGCATAATATCTGAGGCACTGTCATTAGCACCTCGACTGCTCTTCTGAAATGGTACATTCCCTGATAACATGGTATACTGAAACAGAAAAATGTCCTAATTTCAGTATATTCACTGAAAACAAGGCATTGGTGACCAAGAAAATAACTTTCCTGAGCACTGTAATGAGTCATCTCAGGCCTTGTCTTTTGAAAATGGCTGGTGAGCTAAAAATGACTCTCCCGAGCACTGTAATGAGTCATCTCAGGCCTTATCTTTTCAAAATGGCTTGTGAGCTAAAAATTACTCTTCTAGCACTGTAATGAGTAACCTCAGGCCTAATCTTTTCAAAATGGCTGGTGAGCTAAAAATGACTCTCCCGAGCACTGTAATGAGTAATCTCAGGCCTTATCTTTTCAAAATGGCTGGTGAGCTAAAAATTACTCTTCTAGCACTGTAATGAGTAACCTCAGGCCTAGTCTTTTGGAAATGGCTGGTGAGCTAAAAATGACTCTTCTGAGCAGTGTAATGAGTTATCTCAGGCCTTGTCTTTTCAAAATGGCTGGTGAGCTAAAAATTACTCTTCTAGCACTGTAATGAGTAACCTCAGGCCTTGTCTTTTGAAAAAGGCTGGTGAGCTAAAAATGACTTTTGAACACAGTAACACAAGTGAAGCTATGCTACTAAATGATCCAAATTGTGAATAATTAGCTCCTGCAGGTCTTGATTTGTGAGAGTGATACTGGGCAAGGGGTGTCATCACTTGCTTCAAATAGCATGCCCTATAACAGAAAGGTATCATAAGTTTTCTACACTCTGGGCTTATGGTGTGTCACTGTATAATATAATAATAAGATACCGTAATAGCTAGATCATGTGACCAAGGAAATCTCATGACTCAATAAAAGGTCACATGATATTTTACAAGGTGTGTCTGCATTTTGTAGTTGATAACAATGAATTATCTTGAAATGGCAAAATTTGTGCAGTAAAATATATACTCCATTCGTGGTTCCAATATGTTTCATAAGAGTAAGCCCTCGTTATTTGTCCTGCAAAAAAACATGACAGTCCCTATGTATACTTTCATTGATAGAATATAGAAAAACTGCTTCAGTCAGTTCTATTGTTTTTGAGTCACTGCCAACTACCATTACTTAAACTATTTAGATATTTATGTTTCTATAGTTACATAGACATATATGGGATTAAACACCCACTGATCTATCTCTCTCTACATGCAGCATGCAGAACATCATGGATAAGAACAATTTCTAAAATCAGTTTGCCCATGTTCTCCAAACTTACCAGAACCAAGTCTTGGTGATTGCAAAATAGGTCATGACAAATGTGGTGGGTAGAGTAAATAGTTGGAAGTGACTATAAACAATGGAAGTGGCTGAAGCAGGTTGAACTGCTCTCAGCAACTTCCAGTTGATATGTCTGGCCATCTGAGTTGTGTTCCAGGAACCCTGCACCATGCTGAGCTACAGGTTCCTGATAATCATTCATTCAATGAATATTTTGACCAAATGTTAACACTGTAATGGAAAATTATGTTTTGCCAATGAAGTTGTACCTGATTACTGTAAAATACTTTATTTTAGCTGAAAACATTTTTTGGGTGTTTTGTATGGAATTTATTTTCCCTGATTTTTGACGAGTTGAATGTACAATATAGGGAAAAAGGTATATTTGCTGGATTTTATTTTCACTGAATCATGCCTTCAGTGTAAATTGCAAAAATAAATGCCAAGTGAAAGTATTTTACAGTACATCTAATGAAAAGTGGTATTTATACTTACCATAATGACTCCTAAACTCCAAAGATCGCAAGAATCATCATATCCAGTGGGGTCATTATGGTGTTTATGCAATGATGTCTGTCTTAGTACTTCAGGAGCTGCATAGTGTAGGGTGAAACATGGAGTATTCAATGGTTGATTATTGTCAGGTTTCATACGAGCAAACCCAAAATCAACAATCTTCAATTCAGCATCTTCACTATTATCTTTGAACAACAAATTCTGTAGAAGAGAAAAACAAGATTTAAAAAAAAAAAATCATTTTTGTAGTCTCAAAAAATACCAAATTCACTTATAGTAATGATAAAGATGTGTCTATGGTTATAACAAGTCATATTTTCATGATCCAGTATACAATACATTCACTTCTATTGAAGAGCTGGTTCCAACAGAGCAAATACCATACTCCTGAAAAGTACCACTGGTCTGATACAAAACACTAGACTCATAGTAATCACTGTAGGCTATGAAAAAGTGCGTTTTTAGTTAAGAATAATGAGAATTACTCGGTTTGCATAGTGAAATAAAATAACAATCTGAATTAAAATGTTAACTTACTTCAGGTTTCAGGTCCCGATGTACAACTTTTCTATCATGCATATATTTCACAGCTGATACTAATTTCTTCATTATTCTGCTAGCTTCTATTTCATCAAAATGTTGCTTCTTTTTAATTCTTTCTAATAATTCCCCACCCTTGCATAATTCCATAACAAGATAATGATGAAGCTGTAGAGATAAAAGAATGCAGAAAATTCATGTTCTGATGACAGCTGTTGACAAACATCTATTAAAATTAACATAATCCAGTAGACCCTCTAGTAGTTACTTCAATATTTAACACTAAAAATTAAAAAAAAAAAACCTTGCCTGGAAAATGAAATTAAATCTTTTTCACAATAAAAAAACTAACATTGTCATCCCACACGGCAGTTGTTTACCCAGAAACACACTAGCTAACTTAGCATTTGTCCACACATAATAACACATAATATATAACAAGCATCACTTGCAATAAAGCACCAGCTAAACACCAATAAACGGTGAAAATACTACCCATATACTACAAATAACAGCTGAAATAATGCAACTAATTAATAGCATTATTATACATTTGTCACCGAAAGTTATAGCAAGCAAATGCCAAATATGGAACAATTACGTGATATTTTAAAGAAAATAATGTTCAAAGTAAAAAAGTGGCACTGATTTCCACCAGCTTACTTAGTTCCAAGTGTTATTGATTGCGAAGATGTATAATAATAAGGTTACAATGAAGATACCACAAATACCAGTATGGACACAGACAGCAAGGTAATCATATCAATCTTTGATACACATCACCCATGTGCTGTCTTCATGCATACTTTGCGATATTCCCATAATGGAGGTATATAATCCTGATGTACTTACCTCATCATGAAAGACGTCATATAATGAAATTATATTAGGATGACCTTGACATTGCCTCAAACAATGAATTTCCCTTGTACAGTCTATCCTACGACTTACAATCTTCACTGCATATTCTGAACCAGTTTTCCTATGTGTACACATTCTGAGAGCAATAAAGTCAACAGCTATTACATAATGCATTAAAGAAATTGACTACCATTTACCATAAGCTGACAAAATCCTGGTAGAAAAAAATCACTTTTTGTACAAAACATTCAAACTCCCATAAAAATGATGATTTTTAAACCATTTACCATTGACCCTCATTGGTAAGAAAGGTTTCTTCATCATAAGACACAAATCATATGTAGTCATAGTCATAATTATTGGTACAAGAACATCAATTCCTTAGAAAATAGTCTAAAATGGCCTATTTTTGCATGTTTCCAGACAGTTTTTCTCCCAAAATAATATTTCATACTGAGTAAAAAATCAGAAAAGTCAATGACTCATCTAAATCAATAATTATGTAACACTTTAAAAAAAAACTACCCATACAACTATCATGTTGTCAACATCCAATCCTCCCAATTTACTGCCCTCTGTTAACTAACTAAACCTCTCAATACACTACAACAA